AACCCCAATATAACCCCTATAATATTCGATGACCCCAAAAAGTACAACAGGGGAGGGTCCAGGTGGGATTCAGGCCGAGGCTCATGGACGAAGTCACCACGCAAGGCTTTTGAGATTTAGGGTTACCTAAACCCCAAAGGTATGTAAAATAATGGCCTCTAGGGCTATTGTTATGGGTTTAGGGCTATTATTCTACATATTTTGGGGGTTTAGGTAAGGGTTTGGGACTCCGATTTCCAAGGTTGAGAGTGTAGGGTTCGGGGCTGCCTGTGGCGCAAACTTTGGGATCGGGCGGTGTCTGTGGTGGGTTGATTATGCCTGCCAGCAGGATTTTCAGGAACATGACGTGGCCCATGATGTTGTACAAATGTGCAAAACTTAGGGTGAGACTTACTCGTTGGAGTATGAACCATGTTCTCAAATCTTTCTGCGGGCAGACATCGGCAGGTCTTGTGAATATCACTGCGCACTCCCAAGATGCACATGTAACAGCTGGATCCTTCTAGATTCTAGTCCACCTACATGCCCAAGAACAGAGAATGTGGAGATCCCCCCCCAACCACCTATAGTCCCCCTTAAGTAGATGGAATATGGCTTTGAGCTGTAATAATAAGATCCCTATAGAACTCATATTCTATCTACTTAAAGGGGACTATAACCTTTAAGTCCCCACACTCTAAACCCGCAAACCCTCTGTAACAACTGCTGTGATATCAGACTCTGCCATGGAGTAAGACCTGTATATATACATATATTGGGGGGTTATGTAGGGATAATGGAAAAGACAATTGGAAACTGCTTTAGTATGTTAGGGGCCCCTTGAAAGGTGTCATATTAGGGATCTATTGGGGTTATCTTCCTTCATTGAAGAAAGTTTGATCATTCCGGGATACTTTCCACAAGTACGGGCACCCAAGTATATACCCCAAATGCAATAGTCCTTTGTCTTGTAATTTCGGGGAACTCCCATATGAGCTAAACTCCAAACTCCAAGTATCCTCCATAATAACCCTAAAACAGCTCCCATGTAAAATCCCCTATATAACCACTTTTAAGGAGTTTAGACTATGGCACATATGGTAGTTCCCCTAAACAGGGGGACCCCAATATAGACCCCCAAATACCTTCATCCTTATTGTGGGGACCCCCAAAAAGGTACCGCTAATTTTGGGAAACCCTACGCCCTAAACCCTATTCCCTAAACCCTAAACCAGATCTAACCCTCAAAAAAACACCCTTTAGTAGTCCCCGATAGAATGTCCTGAACTACCCCTTTTAAAAAGGTTAGATTAGGGCTCAGATGACGACATAGGCACATTGCGAAAGACTCAAGGATGGGTGGCAGGGAGTTTGTGTGCATGCGGCTGAGGTCTGTCAGGATCTCCCTTTGAAAAGCCCTAAGGACATCCAGGTCCTGCTGCACTTTTTTGGGGGTTTAGGGTTTAGAGCGAGGCGAACCAGACCACCCAAAGACCAAAAAAAATGACCTTCCAGGATACTGAAAACTTTACAGGGGTTATATAGGGCTGTGTTGGGTTGATGTAAAAGGGATCTGAATTGTGGGATCCTTCCAGAGGTCTGGGTACTAGTGATGGATGGCACAGTACACCACACGCAAACCCTAAACCCTGAAAGCTGAACCCTCAACCCCTAAGCCCTAAACATCCTCAAGCCCCAACTTGCAGCCAACTGGTGCCACAGACGGCTTTAAGGGGGTCTAGACGCTCTAGCAGGTCTGCAAAGAGGCCTAGGTCTGGGCCTGAGTGTATAGATTCAGAAACAGCAACCTCAAAATGAGGTTTTTGGCAGCCGTCGGTTCTAGGGTTAAGGGTCCGAGAGGTTAGGGGTGATTTAGGGTGTGCGCATGTGCGGGTGTTTAGGTCATGGGATTCACCGTCTGGGGCTGTACAAGTAGGGCCTGGCGGAGTTCAGATTCTTGGGCGCTTAGAAATTTGATCAGATTCCAAGGTTGGGTCTTGGGCTTTCAGATTTGGGACTTTCCACAAGTAGGCGTTCAATGTATTCCTTGTTAAAAGAATCATCAAAACATAAAGGAAACAGAACCCATTTTTTGCAGAGTCTGGGCAAGTCGGGTCGTACAGCTAATTGACGATCCCCATCTTGTCTTTGGTGATGCTTTCACCCAGAGTGTGGGAAGACCGTGAGAGGAGGCGAAGGGGCTAGCTGTAAAATCATTTTTTTGCATGCTAGTCGGAGACCCTTTCCTCTTTAAGTTTATGGGTAACCTGTTCTGTCGTCTTTTCTACATGCTTTGGTGCCTAGACATAATGAGATGTGATAGAAAATTCTTGCGCATCCAAACCCAAACCAAGGCACTCAGAACCTAAATCCTAGCAGGAACCCGAATCGCAGGCAGATTCCAAACCTTCTGCCCTGAATGCTAGATTCTAAGCCCTGATCCCTCTAATCCTTGTGAGGCCAACTCCTATGGCGAGGCCTTGCAATCCAAATCAAAATCCTAAACCCTAGTTAGCCAGACCACAGATATCCGGCCTTTCTTTGGGGTCATATGCGGGTTTAGGGTTTAGGGTCTATATACCCTATGAAGATGTAGGACACACCTTACAAGGGAATAACGTACAGGGCCCAGGTGAACCCTGGTTGTTGGCAGCGAAGGAGGGCATGGAACACCGAGAGGACACGATCAAATCAACCTAACTAGACACTAAACATATTGGAGATTATATGAGCCATAGTCTAAACTCCTAGTATCCCCCTTAGTAACCCCTATAATATTCCCCCATATAATCCCCTATATAATCTCCTTTAAGGAGTTTAGACTATAGCTCATATAGGGCCATGCCGCCACTCACTAGAAACAGCCTCAGAGGAAACCCTAAAGTCTAAGCCCTCAACCGCAACCTAAACCCCAACCCCAACGTAGCCCTCTATACCCCTACCTACCCTAGATATTGCACTATGTTCCTGTATAGCCCCTTCAAGGAACCTACCAACACGTCCTGGACCCGCAGCTTTCCCATTGCCAAAACTGCAGTGTGAAGCTGTTCGGGCTCCAGCTCCTGCGGGAAAACCGCCAGAAATCTAAGGTTTGGGCTTTTGCGGGTTGAGGCTTAAAGCTTAGTGCTTAGTATGTGAATGTGCGGCTCAGGGCTCAATGATTTGGGGTGTCGGTGTGGGTATGACGGACGGAGCTGAGAAAATCATGGGCCCAATATGAAGTATAGTCTAAACTCCTAGTATCCCCATTAATAAGCCCTATAATAGTCCCCTAAATAGTCCGCTATATCATCCCCCTTTAAGGAGTTTAGACTATGGCTCATATAATCCTTCTTGAGTTGAATTCTCAAAGGGGTGGCTGCGTATGCAATCTGCCAGAGCCATCTTCCCCAACATCCTCCAGTATAACCCTAGTATAACCCCAATATAACTCGAACATAACCCCAATATGACCCAATACAACGCTTATATAACCCCAATAATCCTAATATAACACCAGTATAGCCCCAGAAGTAAGTAAATCCTGCTCGACCAATGTCTGAACATAATTGTAAAACGTTGCACTTATGCGTGTGTGGCAACAGCAAAACATGGTATAAACGGGAGTGCAAAGGCAGCCCTAATTTTAGGAAACTGAAGATGTCAGGGTTTGGGGTTACACTCACTGAAACCCTAACTTAATTGCGCCATATCGTCATCAAACGTCGTCTTTATTAGCAACATCATCATGAGTGTTCTACTACTACATCTTAGCGGCTACTCTGCTGCTGATACTACCACTGCTACTGCTATGCCTCGCCATCACCACTGACACTGCTTCAACTACCATCACATCGTCCTCACCCTTGATACCTGTTTACACTTGTCAGTGTCACCTGTACCTCACTTTTACTGATGCTCATGCCGCACAGTAACCTAGGCCCCCGAATCGAATAAGAAGGCTTCCTTGGGGAACCCAGTACCTGAGCAACGTAGATTCATCTATCATCACGAAAGCGCACACCAAACACTCAAACCACAGCTCCAAAGCCTGAACCCTAAACCCTAGACGTTAACCAAGCTCTAAACTCTGAAGCCCAAACGCTGAACCCCAAGTCCTATGACATGTAACTCTACTTATTTAAATCCTTTTGCTCCCCATATGGCCCTGCGTCTTCTATGTACCCCACTATATTCCAAGGTACCCCCACATAGCCCCTATCACCCTCAATGGATCTGCCTTCACTCTCCGTGCAAGCAAGCCAGTGAGCTCGCGCACCGCCACAGGCGCCACCACCTGCGCTGGCTGCCCGAACAGCTTCCTGAGCAACTTGTTTTTTGTGTATATGGCAGCATCCATTGCTATGGAGGGCACCGAGAAGAAAAAACATATCATTCCGTTCCTGTTCCAAGAGCCAGAATCCTGCGAATATTCCAAACTCTGGGGGAACGGAGTTTTTCTTTGAAGGTTTTAGAGTTCATACGGGAAACGTACATGCCCCTATACATCCCTTTATCCCTATCACCCTAAATGTCCTAACATAGCCCCTTCAACGTACCTAAACCTCAGGGTCCAAGCTTCGGGGCAGGCCAATTGGCTGGTCCATCCAAGGACGCAAAGCTTGCCAGGCTCTGCAGCAGGTCGAGACATGCCTCAGGCCTTCCACCGCAAGCGGGGGGGGGGTTTAGGGCTCAGGGAATCCCTCCGTGCCCATGAAGGCCTCCTACTCCTACAGTATGTACAAGCAGAACCTATCTAGCCCCCACCCAAACCCTCAACCCCGACCCCCTAAACCCCAGACAAAACGACAAAAGAACCTAAACGAAGCCCCTAAACCCCAAAATTCCCAAAACGTGTGCCTCAAGGACCCGGAAGCTTAAACCCTAAACCCCTAAACCCTCTATGACCCCTATATCCCACAAACCCTGACAAGGAACTTGCTGGAGTCCACACCCGCCGCTGACCACGCATCCAGGGCGTTGAGGAAGTCTTGGCAGCGAAATTCCAACCTTAGAATGTTAAGGGGTTGTATTGGGATAATGGAAAAGAAAAAGGAAACTACAGGGATTTTAGGGGTTATATGAGGATTATAGGGTATTGTATACTAGGGTATATTACTGGGGTTATATTGGGATAACGGAAACTGGAAACTACTATGCAGGGTTAGGTTTTAGGGCGTAAGGGTTTGACCTGAGGGATCCAAATAGCCGAATGTAGGTCGCCCAGTGCAGGTGATGCTTACAGCCTTGCAGCCCCGGGGCTTAGTTCTAGACAAATTGTGGAAGGTTCAGGTCTGAAGTTGTGTGTCGAGTTTCGAATTCAACTCTTTGCCCTTGAGGGTTGAGTTTTTTGTGTCTCACCTTTTCTCCTGCAGAAGGTTGAAGGTTTAAGGTTTGGGGTTTAGGGCTTAGGGTTTGGGGTTCAAAGGACCCTAAACCCTAAACCCTAAAGCCTAAACCCTAAACCCTAAAGCCTAAAATCATTTTTGGGAGTCAGGCTTGAGGTTCTGGGACGTTCAAGGTTCAGGGTTTGCGGCTCTGGGGTTAGGACCAAGGGGGCTTGAGGCTTAGGCGCTTGAAGGTTGGGCGTGACGGCTTCTAGATTTGGGGTTCAAGAACCCAAGGTAAACGGCTTAATTCTACGGTTTAGGGTTTAGGGTTTAGGGCTTCCCCAACAACAAGGACCGAAAACGCCCAAACTTTCCTGTGTCAAACAAGGGAGCCCAAGAAAGTGTCAAGCTCTTCCATTGGCTAAGTAAGTTAAGGCTTAGGGAAGGGTTAAGAAGCTTTGCTGTCAAGCTTTCGGCTTCTTGGGGGCTAAGAGGGGTACAAACCTATCTTGACCTGCGGCGCTCTGTATTATAGTATACTATAATACATTATTGTATACTATCGTGTAAGTTATAATATACTATAATATAGTAGCCTAGTATATTATATTACTTGAGGGTGACATAATGGTTAGCGGACGTCCTTAAGGGGGGTTATATTCAAGGGATTATGTACGGGACTCCTATAAAGGTTCTATTCCGAGATTACATTGGGGACTTAGGGGTTAAAGTAAAGGGATTATGTAGGGGACTACTATGGGGGTTAGTGAGGGGGATACTAGGCAAGGATCTTCGGGGTTGGGTGACTCAGTGGAATGGAGCTGCTGCCCGTGTGTGACATGACACGCCTGAAAAGCAAAGCTCAAATTTCTTCTTGTTCTTGACGCATGGGCTCCATGTAGCATCATGTAGCTATATGGTATATACATGGGCCCTAAAGTACAGTAATTATGTGGAAATGAATTTGGGCCCTACGTATACACTATATAGTTACCTTTGGGTTCGTGATGTACTACTCCTTGCGACACAAGGGCCTGACCGCCTCTCTTGATGCAACCCCTGGCAGAAAAGAACGTTCATACATTAGAGGCCCACTCCCTTCTCACGAAGTACGACACAGATCCTTTTTGCGATCTACGATGCGCATCCTCGGGAAGGCTTAACCGTCTCCATGAGGTTCATGTCAGGATTGCTACACGTTCGATGCTTGGTGCTCATGAGTTGCAGGACTGACCTGGAAGACTAACCCCGAACGGTATCTTACTGGTTCTTTGTAGGGAATAAGGATTAGGAGTATATTCCCTTGCTCCGTACTAAGAACCTGTAATTTACAGCCTACGCCTTTATTGCCGCAGTGATCCGAGCAGCTCTGCGAAACCTTTGGCCACCATGGACAAGCCCTTCACGTTGAAGCGGTCAGAGGCCTGTGCTGCGTTCATGAACTGCCCCGATTCCGAGATTGGCTTCATTTTTTCCATGGAGATGATGAAATCCCCGCGTTCACGGGCTTATTCGTGGGCTCGACGGGATCCGAGAACCTCTCTGAAAGAGATCCGGAAAGACTCAGGTACATAAAGACTTAGGTACTGAGTCCAAAAACAGTATTGTCTGACGAATTATCTGCACGATCTTGGGACCTGAAACCATTAGGCCCAAGGCCCAGCAGAATGAACTAACTATAATATACCATATATGATATACTGTAGTACAGCATAGTATAATAAGAAATACTGGTATTTTACTATGATTATGACTATTATTTAGCTGCCTCCATGCTCCCCTACGAGGAATGGCTGCAGACCCTTCCTCTTATGCTGAATAACTCCATGCGGTTCCCTGTGACTTACTGGTTCTTAGTAGGGAGTATGGGAACATAGTATATAGGGGGATATATAGGGCTTGTATTCCCATCCTCCCTACTAAGAACCAGTCAGATGAAGATACAAGAGTAGAGCCCGCAACTCCCTGATGTCTGGATGTCTATATGTCAAAAGTGTACAAACGCGGCCTCTGGAGAAACAAAACACAGCAGACAACAACATACCGCATCCAGGCGAAACTGGGCTGTTGGACACCAATTCCCACTCATTCCCTCTTGCTTGAAAACGACTTCTGTAGCACTTTGGGCCCCGTTCCTAAAGCTCAAGCTGTAGATTGCGCAGGCCTGAGTGGCCTTCGAAAGCGCGCGGAGGGCGGAGGTATTGCGCACCTTCATCCTTTGCAGCTACTCCCGTAGAGGAGCGTCACATGAAACACGGTATCCAAGATTAATGATGGCTGGATCCATAGGGACACTATTTAGCTCAATCCTGGAGATTATGATGGCAGGCAAGCACGGGTCCATGTAAAGCTTTGCTCCTCATGAAGAGCATGGGCCCCAAGAGCACATGTGGCTTCAATGTTAGGAAGTTTATGATAGGGATCCGTGTGAAGGGTTAGATCAGCATGATTCTAGAAAACACTGTCATGTCTCAATCATGAAGAAGAGACAGGTCGCGGATGGTCAGCTGAAAGACCGGCCAGGCTAGCCTTTGAGAGGGCCATTGACGGATTTCCCTTACCTTCACCCTCTTCCTGCTCCATGTGTCCTCCCCGCAAACCACGGAACCCTCTAAATCTCAAGCCCTAACTGTATTCCCTGAAACATAATCCCCAAGCCCTACAACCTGAAACTCCGAAACCCTAAAACCCTAAGCCCTTAGACCCCAAACCCC